TCATTCTGGCATCGGCCAACTGAGACCCCCAAACAGAGAAGCTTTGTTAGGCAACAGATCGACCTTCACCGCCACTTAAAACCGGGAGCCGGTTGCTGACGAAGCTGAAAAGTTGTTGATGAGTGCTATCACATGATTATCGGAACCTGTGAATTCAGTGTGAGAACATGAACGTGATCAGACAGTGAATGCCACTCACAGGAAGTACAAGGGGTAGTCAGACAAGGATTCAAAGTAAACTCACATTGAAATTCTTGTCAGACTGAAAGCAATCTTGAGGCTGATTCATCATCAAGAGAAGATGAATTCAGTCCAATTAACAGCCTGTCCATCAGCGGTGTTTGAGAAACTTGAATAAGCCCGGAACATAGCATACTCATTCTCAAGCACAGGGATGCACAGACAAACCAATGAGATCAGTGAAGGAATCAGGCTCAAGGTAGCTAGACCAGGAGAAGGTTTCCATCAGCTGAAAACACACAGGTAAGTTACAAACAACAAACACGCAGGTAAGTTACAAACAACCAAACTGCACCTGATCCTTCTTCAACAAAAGGATACTTAGTTCAGCAGAATCCACTGCTGACTGGATCAGGTTACAGCGTAGTGGTTGCCCCATGAAGGGCAATACTTGACAAAGTGTTGCCCAACACATCTGAGGCAGACACCGACATCCTTCCTCTTTTGCGATAGCCCGTCTGGGATACGGAAATCCCTCCATGGGACAGAGGAAGAATCCATGGGGTTAGCTGGACATTTGGCAAACTTGGGCAGATTTTGCTTCTGAGGTCCACAGGGGCGTTTGCCAAACCCCATAGGAGAGGGGGACCTTTGTCTCTGGAGCTCATTGCGCTTACCAGTTCCTGAGCCAAAGTCAGAATACCCTGGTCCAGGAAGCCTCCTGCACCTTGACTAGCTGAGGGAGTTGATCCTCTCTGGTCAAAGCCTGCAAAGTCTTCCACAGACTCCATCGTGTGCCACCTCCTGTTGCTCTTCCTCTGACTCTGAGAAGGGGAGGTGCTTCCCGTCTGGGAAGTGGACTGGATTTGGAGTTTGACCTCCAAATCCAAGGCTTCTTTGCCAAAGGCCTTCCAGTCCTTGTGACCTGCAGAAAATAGGGTCTGTACATAAGTTATCGGGGTAGCCTGGACAAACAATTGCAACTTGTCCTGGTCTGACATGGATAACCTAGGTGTAGAGGTTAGCCTTTCCCAAACTGCGTAGAGCTTGGAGAGGGATCCCTGCCATTGTGACTGGCCTAACCTCACAAGCTCTGCAGCAGCCTCCTTGGCTCTCTCTCGATTGGCGAACCTCTCCTCCAGAGACCTTTAAATATGTTGTCCAATCCTACTGTACCAGCCCAGTCGGCCAGCTGTTTCTGGGCCTTATTGGCCTCAGAAGTAGCCCACTGAAGTGCAGGCCTTCCCAAACGTCTACAATGGACTGCACCTTGGTAGCGTTCGACAAGTGAGTTCCTTGAGGTACCATCTCATCGAGGCAGTCCAATCTGCTACATCCACTTTGGGGTTATCCCCGGTGAATGTTTCAGGTTGGGCTGTCTTGGGGCGCCTCGATTTCTGCTGGCCTAGGCCTGCAGTCACTTCTGCCTTAGAAGTCACAGGGTGCCCTTCCACAAGCTGCAGGGACTGCACGTTTTGAGGTGTAGCCGGTCTGCTCTTGGGGCTACTGGCTTGGGATGATGCAGCAGCAGAGGACCTTGCATGTGAATAGGGTGTAGCAGGAGGAGTAGGAGTAGTACTGGGAGTAGGAGTAGTGGGAGTAGGAGTAGGAAGAGGGAGGAAACATAGGTTAACAACTGCCACAAAACGATCGAAGGAATCTGCAAGGGAGGAGAATTTGGTTTCGATGATGGACAATCTGTCCACCATCGAAGTCTAAACTTTCATCCCAGGAGGTTTGTTCTTCCCTCATCACTTCCTTGGATTGTCTCGACCTTCCTTCTGCTTCTCCATCTGCTCCAACTGCGACCGAGCTGCCTCTGCAGCCTTAACTACTTCTCCAGTCTTCAGTTCAGTGACAAGCAACTTGTAATTCCCTGCACTGACTAAACTTTCTTCCCCCATTCCAGAAGATTATTTTCACACTACAAGATAAACGTGAAAGTGTTCAAAGGCTGAAGACCATTCACTAGTCTACTCAGATATGGAATGTGGTGTTGATTCCCAACCCGAACAAGTTAACAGGCTTGACAGGCTCACAGGAATGGCACTGACCACTACGACTGACCAACAGGGTTGTACTTCCAAAATGGCAGTCTTAACTGATCTGTGACCTCCCGCTGATGGGGTCACTTACCAATTCCCAACTCTGCGTAGGACTGTTTTCAGGCGCAGGGACTGACAACAGTGACTGACGCCCAATTGCACATGGACCCAACCTCGACCAACGAATATCTTCCCACAAAAAAATATTTATTTGTTAGAAAAATGCGAGGCTCAAGGCCTCGATACGTCCTACTGGGCCCTATTTTCAGAGCAGTCGGCCGCCCTAAGTGAAGGCAGGCTCTACCAAGGCCTACATGCCCATTTTTGGGGTCATCACACAACTGGGGAAATTCAAGCAGTTGCGCAGCGCCAGTTGGTTGAGAGCACCCAGGCCCAGACTGCCTCTTTCGTAAGTAACTGAGGCAGGCCCTGGGCCAGATTCACTACACGGACCTAACACGGGCCACGGGCAACCACCACAGGCCCAGGGCCTGATTCGTTTGGGCTGGGGCTCAGCCTCTCTGGGCCTACCGGAAGCTTCTGGGCAGGGGCCCAACACAACCAGGCTGCACGCAAGCAGGCAGGCCACTTCCATTTAGGAAAGTGCCTGCCAACGCATTGGGCATTCAGGCACTGGCTGCATGTTGCGCTAACGCTGGCCAGGCTCACGCGCTCACGGGCGAGCTGGAAGGAGCAGTCAACCATAGCCAAGCTGCGCTGCTGTATGCTGGATGGGACACATGGTGGTTCTTGGGGGCATGTGGCATCTGTGAGTTGGGGATCGAGGTTGTGAGTGATACGAGAGACATACCTGGTGCTTGAGGCGAACGGCATTGGCCGAGATCTGCTCGTACTTCGGGGAGCTGTTGACGTCATCAGCGGCATTGTAGATAGGCTAGATAGGATCTGCCATCTATGGTTTGGGCGTCGAGCGCCACATAGGATATCGACATTGGTTCTTCCTTGATGATGATGAAACTATTCCAGCATTGTCAATTATGAGCTTTCGTTGTGCTCTTATTTGGTGGAACTCGTGATACAATTCTGCTATTGGTTCGAGGTCACGACTAGCTGGTCTCATGTGTACAACGCTGTTTGATTTCTGAAGTTCGCTATCGCTCATTTTCCTTGCAATTTGGTATCAGAGATGTGGTACGTTGTGCTCATCTGGCGCTTGTCTTCTGCCTATGCGGTACATTCATGTGGTATGTTGGGCAAGTGACCGTAGGGAGTGTGTAGTGAGGAGGGCGAAGGAAAGCAGGCGACCTAGGAGGAGAGGGGATCGCCAGGAAGGCTATGAGGTGAATATTGGGTGTTTGCAGTGTGATGAGAACTATGTGGTGTTCGATTGATGCTGAGGTGCAACGACGGTGTAATGCTGGTTGTGCCGAAGCAGCGATTGGTCGTCACAATCGGCATCGGCATCGGGTCATCTGGTGAGAATATTTGTGGTTGGGGGCAGCTATTTTGAGGTACGTTGCACCCAACCTTATCTACCCTCTTTGACACTTCTTACCGTGAGGATGTGTGTTCTGTCTTGAGAGTCCTCTCATGTGAGGAGTCGAGTGCGCTCAACCTCGAGAGTCGTCAGTGTTCACGTGGAGCATCTGGAAGGAGAGGGCGGTGCTATCTGAAAGGCCCTGGACGAAGCACTGAGTCACGGTCACCATGCCAACCCACCGGGAAGAGCACGCATGCTTTGCTACTTTGTCCTTTGTTTGCTCGCTGCGATATAGAGGGGTTCAGAGGGGCAGGCCAGCCCTACGGGAAAGACGAGTATCGGACGTCTATAAATAAGTACCGGCGGGGACCTTCCATTGACTGTGATCGTCGTCCTATTTGCGACGTTAAATAATTCCTGAGGACTTTGGGGGCCGTCCATAAAAACGCCTCCTGATCAGCTAATTGGTCGGTGCAAGGCTCTGCACGCAAGGATAAATATGGTGCAGTCTGGCCAGCTTAGCAGGACTCGAGGCATAGGGGTGGGCCGAGTGCACACCTTTAGACACGCACACTGTTTCGGATTGCTCAGGGACGTTGACGACAAGAGACATTCAGGAAGAACTGAGGGAGGGGTAGATTCCAAATGATAAGTTCGAGTAATATTCCGTTCTACAGACAATGACATAGGTGCAATCATGACTCCCCGCCCAAATCCGGAACTTGTCATTTCCTGATCACATGATCCTATCGTCCTCCCTAGTGTCCTCCCTGTCGCTGGTAAGCTATAGAACTGCACACTGTCTGCACTAGGTCACTCACTCGATGCCTATCGCAGCATCATGTACAAACCGATTTGAAATAATTAAATAATTCATCGGTGGCTAAATCAGAGTATATACATTTGGGTCCAACAGGTAAGTTCAGATTCCTACAAACGAAACTATATTGACTTTGACTAGTTCGCAAACAGAAAGCACAATGAACAGGAAACATTTCTAACTATGTAGAATGGAATTCGGATTTGGGCGCGTTTGGTCAGGCGGCAGACAATGACGTAGATGCAATCATGCCCGCGGTCGGTCTTAGGGAGATCGCACACGAAGTCCATGGAAATGGACTGCCACCGGTGAGTGGGGATGGGCAATGATTGGAGCTTGCCGGGTTTGGCCCGGTTCGAGGGATTGACAGCCTCACACGTGGGACATGAGCGAAAGTATGTTTTGACGTCGGCGAGTAGAGAAGGCCAATAGAAGTAGCGGGAGATGGTGTAGAAGGTTTTCTGGAAACCGAGGTGACCTGGGGTCTTGGCGTCGCGGTGCTCGGTCAAGAGCTGGGTATGGAGACCACATGTGTCAGGGATGCACAGTCGGCGAGTGCCTTTGGTGTCGATGTAGAGAAGGTTGTCGTGGAGGGAGTAGTCAGGGACTGGGTCAAGATTGCAAAGCTTGTTGTAAATGGCGGCGAAGTCTAGGCAAGAGAGGTAGCCTTTGGTGTATCGGTGATGGAGTGATAGGAGGAGTTGGATATGGGTCATAGCGGCGTAGACTTTCTCGGGGGGCTTGGGGTGGGGTCGTCGAGAGAGGGCATCAACAACGCGGTTGCTTTTCCTGGGGGTATGGCAAATGGTGAATGTGAACTGGGCAAGGAAGTCGAGCCATCGAGCTTGGCGTGGGGTGATGTCTTTCTTGGTGAGGATGGAAGAAACGATGGTGTTGTCAGTGCGGATGGTGAAGTATTGCCCGTCGCGGTACGGGCGCCAGACTGTGAGGGCGTGAATCACGACGAGGAGTTCTTTCTCGTTGGAGGAGTAATTCATCTCCGAGGGAAGGAGCTTCTTGCTTGCGAAGGCGATGGGGTATTCGTTGGGTGGAGCCTCGGGGTGAGTGGGTGAGTCCTTGATGGAGGGGGTCTCGGCGGTGTCGCGGGGAAAATGTTGAGACAGTAAGACTCCAATGGCGAAGTCGGAGGCATCAGTGGTGACATAGAAATGGCGAGTGGGGTCGGCGATCTTGAGGACAGGGGTCGTGGTGATGGTTTGCTCGAGGAAGTCGAAAGCGTGTTGGCGACGATCGTTCCAATTGAAGGGCTCGTCCTTGCGTCCTTGCGTGCGAGTTCGTGGAGAGGGTAAGAGATCTCAAAAAAGTTGCGAATGAACGGGCGGTAATAGTTGGCAAGGCCGAGGAAGGAACAAAGTTGGAGGAGGGTCTTGGGCGGGGGGTACTCGATGAGGGCTGTGACCTTCGAGGGGTCCATACGGATGCCTTCAGTGCAGACAATGTGGCCAAGGTATTCGACACTCGAAGTGGCAAACGTACATTTGCTGAGCTTGGCGTAGAATTTTTGTTGTCGGAGGATCGAGAGGACTTGGTTAATGTGTTGAAGGTGGGACTCGAAGGTGGTGCTAAAGATGAGGATGTCATCAAGGTACATGACGACACATACTTCAAAGAGGTCACGAAAGATGTGGTTCATGGTGGACTGGAATGTGGCGGGGGCATTGGTGAGTGCAAAAGGCATTATGAGGAACTCGTAGTGCCCGAACCGAGAGCGGAATGCGGTCTTGTGGGTGTCCTCTTCGCGGATACAAATCTGGTGGAAGCCACTGCGGAGGTCGATCTTGGTGAAATATTTGGCTCCACAGAGGCGATCAAGAAGTTCAGATATCCGGGGGAGTGGGTACTTGTTCTTGATTGTGATCCAGTTCAAGGCACGGTAGTCTGTGCACATGCGGAGTTCAGAGGTGTTGTTCTTCTTGACGAAGAGACAACTGGTTCCAAAGGAGGAGCTAGGCTTAATGAATCAATTTTCAAGGAGTTCATTGAGGTGGCGCTTCATTTCTTCGGCCTCGGGGATGGAGAGTTGGTATGGACGGCGGCAAGGAGGAGAATGGTCGGCCTCGAGATCAATGGTGTGCGATACACCTTGATCGGGAGGTAAACTGGCGAGCAAGGACTCGAGGAAGACGCCCTTGAATTCAGAGAGGAGAGCGGTGATGTGAGGATCGGAAGGGGGGTCTTGGTCGGGTTTGTCCATTAAAAGCGAGTCCTCGGGATGCTCGTGGTCGATAACAAGACAATAGGAAGCGGAGTCGGGGTGTTCACGAGACATGTGAAGAAACTGGTGAGGGGAGACAGGGGGTGGGGTAGAAGGGGGGAGAAGGTAAGGGATATCAAGAGGAGAGTTAGGAGGGCGGGTGAGTCGGACGAAGGGGGGATGGAAGAACTAGAGCATGAAACGGTCAAGCCATGGAGTCCTCAAGACAATGTCGCACATGAGGTGCATGACATCGAAGGAGACCTGACTGCAAAGAGGACCGACAGTCATGAGGGTCTCAGGGACAGTGCGATCGACAACGATGGTTGAGTCCTTATACCCTAGTCGGATGGTGATCAGGGAGTCATAGCCGGTGGAAGAGAGGTCGGCTTTGCGGACACAGGCTTCAGTGATGAAGTTGCCGGTGGCACCAATATCAAGGAGGGCCCGAAACTTCACCGTCGATGCGTCAAGGGAGATAACGATAAACTTGAGCTGGAACTGTGCGGTTCCGGCACAACCAGAAGAGATCGCGGTGTTGAGGCGGCGTTGTTCCAAGATTAATCTAACAAGCCGATCGTGTCGTGCTTGTTCCTCAACGAGATCGGAGAAGGTGGTAGAGAAGGGGTTAGGGATGAGAGTAGAAGAGCAGGTGCCAGTGGGAAGCTCGACCCATGGGATAGCAGACGTCATCGGGAGGGGGGCAGGTGGAGTAGACCGCGCTGCCTGGGGGTCGTCCGATGGGATGTGCATCACTGGAGGGGGGGTAGGCAGACGGATAGTCGATGCCATGTGGGCCACCGGTAGGAGAGAGATCGTCACCGATGGGAGAGCCGACAGACAAGTGGTCGATGCCGGGGGAGGATTGGAAGAGACAGGGGGACAATGTTCAGGTGGAGGAGGGCCCGACTGTCGCGGTGGAGGATGAAGTGGGAGTAGAAGGGCCGGGTCCCGCGGAGCGAGGGGCCTGTCGAGTAAAGAAAACACCCGTTGTGTTCCTAGAGGTATATGTGTTTTGCGGGTGTAAGTTTTTGGAGACGGCGGGGTGGAGAGGAAGAAGGTGGTCAGGAGGCACGACCTTGGCGTTCCATTCGCATAAGGTGGGCGGCCTGGAGGTCCTTAATGGTGAATTGGGAGGGGTCGAGAGAGACAGTGTCGAAGACGTCATCGGAGGTGGGTGGAGTGGTGTCATCAGGGGTGATGTTATGGAAGAAGTGGGGGCGGGAGGGAGCGGGCGCAGACTGGTGATGGGGGTGGAGGAGTCGATCGTGGTAAAGCATGCAAGAGAGCAGGTCAACAAGGGGCATGTCGGGTTCGTGGGCGAGGGTGGTTACAAGATCTTTGTGCCATACTCGCTTGATGCGGGAGATGAACGCAAAGTCGAGAATGACGGTGGTGGGGAGGTGATGGCGGAGGGAGCGGATGTATTGGACGAAGCGGTCCGTGGGACCGATCTGGCGGAGGTGACAAAATTGTTCGAGGTAGTCATCGATGGTTTTCTGGGGGCGGAAGGTGGCAGTGAGAAGGTTGGCCCATTGGAGGAAAGAGTGATGCGGTCCTCCGGAGGCGCGGCGGTTGCTGACTTCGGCCATCCACCATTTGGCGGCATTGCCGAGGAGACGGGAGGTGGCAATGGCAAGCCAGTGGAAAAGGGGCATGTGGTGGAGCTTGAAAGAGTTTTGGAGTTGGGTAAGGAAGAGGAAAACGTCCTTGTGGGGAAGGCCGGAGAAGGGCATGACGTCGGCGGATCGGAAGGAACGGGGGATTTCCCCTTCGCGGGAAACGATCCGGGCGAGGGTATTGAAGTTGAGGTTATCGGGGGTAGTGTCGTAGCAGGTGTGTAATCGAATTGGCTGTTGTCGTCAATGAGGTAGTTGGGGGGAAGTTGTGGCATTGCGGGGTAAACCCCGGAGGTGACTTGGGAATAGGTGGGACGGGGGGTGGGGATGGTGGAGGTCGTCATGATGGGTTGTGAGATA